TTTATATTATAAAATAATTTATATATAAATATATTTTATAATATATTTCTTATATATTTCTTATATCTTCTTATATTTCAGCAAATCAGAGAGGTGTTTGTTTGAGCTGTTTCCAAATATTATCTTGCTTCCCAGGACTTAAATAATACCTCAGCTGTCTTTCGGTAACAGTTCTTGCATATTTCTGTCAAGGTCATCTCCCTTGCTCTCTATACTGTGCAAATGGTACAATTTCCCAAACAGACTATAGATATTAAAGTTGTGCCTAGTTTAAAAACCGTTTGGAAAAAGTGCTCCAGATATTGTGTGCATTAAATTTAAAGGGTGGATTCTTTAAAGCACTGGTATCTTCTTTCAAATCAAAATCAAGCTACTTTAATGAGAAGCACTGTTCTTCTGCTAGCATGTCAGCCTTGCGAGGTAGTCCAGACAAGAAGCAACCCAGGAGTACTAGCTCTATCTTTATTGTAAAGTTACATTAACAGGATCTTGCAAATCTGAAAGTATTCCTCTCCCCCATCACCTTTACCATCCAAGGAACTAGGGAGGGTCCCTTCTGAGACATTTGCCATGCCCGCATTCCTGGGCTCAGTTGCCTCTTATCCGACCATTGCCTGGTCTGTGGCTCTTCCTCCTGTCTCCCAAGGTCATTTCCACATATCGTTACATAGCGTGAGGTCTGAAGTGCTTTGCTCTGCTGAGTCTGAAATCGCTTTGAAGTATGCACAGCCCTAATAGATTAGAAGTATTTTCTTTTATACTGGAGCTTTCCTCCAGACTACTTTTAATTTAAAAACAAGGAATAAATATCAACTTTGACCTGGAAACATGAGTATACCAGAAGTGGAAACCTATTGATGATGGCAGGGTAGAATGGAAATCAGCCAAAATTATTGCATTTTTATCTATTTTCTTTTAGTCCATTTTCCCCCTCACATTTAACAAGTATAACCCCATTGAACCTCATGTATATTGATCCCTCACATTCTATCTGATTTAGAAAAAACACAGTTATGCATTGAATCAGCCTTTTGTGTCCTCTGCTGACAGGAACAAACTAACTGCCGTATATAGTATTATTTATATTTTTAGATCAAAGCAGCTTCTGAAACGTTTTTCTGAGTCTTCTCATCTTTTTAATGTCCAAAAAATGCAGCTCTAAAATTGTGTATTGTAAGATTAGAATATCAGATACACTTTTAAAAGCACCATTCTGCTCAACATAACGTTGAGTCCTTGATACTTGGACTGCCATCTAGTGTAGCTTTTATTTTGTTTCAGAGCAGCAGCATTAGATTTATATGTCAGCTGGAAGAACACACTGAACCTTCCTTTATTTGCAATTCTTTAAAGAAAAAGGATGGAATGGAATTCAGCACGATTCCGCATTTACATGTTGTGTTGCTTTGGGAGTAAGGTCTTCATAGAGTTCCATAATTAGTCATACATGAAAGGGAAGAACTTGGAGTGAGGATCTGCATTCTTATTCACATTCTTAAGAAAAGGGAAGGTTTTGTTTGACAGACTGTTGGCCTGTCTGATGAAGAGTTGTTGACATCCTGACATACAAACCATTTTAGGGGCTCTGAGATGAGCATTGTGACATTGTTATGGTCAGACGCCTGTTTCATCTACATTAGTCTCTATCTAAAATGCAAGTGCATAGTCTTGTCATGGAAACAACCTGTGGACTGAGGCAGCCATTTTCTTTTCTGCCAAGTGCTCCCCTGTCAGCTGCATGCTGATTCTCCAAAATTGAGCATGGATTGAATAGTACGCTTTATGTTTTATCTGCTTTTCATGGAATGGGGCTTATATTAGATAACAGGACAGTTCTCCTTTTCTCACTGTAGCTTCGGCAATTTTCCAACAAAATGCAGTTCAGTGGTGAGAAATGTAGAGTTCTGCCCTTAGGTAGGAAAAATCAGTTGTACAGATACAAGACAGGTAGTACCTGGCTCAGCAGTAGTGCTTGGGAGAAGGATCTGGATGTCTTAATAGATCACAGATTGTGTTAGCCCTTCAGGGGTAGTCCAGACAAGAAACACAACAGTGAATACCAGCTCTATCTTTATTATAACATTACATTAACAGAATCTTGCAAATTTGAAAGTATTTCTCCCTTCCTCTCCTTTTATTTTCCAGAAAACTAGAGAGGGTCCCTTCTGAAACGCTTTCCACACCCTCCCCTCCTTCTGTGGACTGAAATATCTTTTATGTGGTGGTTGTCCATTCTGTGGTTCTTCCTCCTGTCGCCCAAGGTCATTCCCACATACCATTTCAGACTGACCATGTGCCAGCACTATGTTGTAGCTACCATTAGAGCCCATGCAATCTTGGGCTGCATCAACAGAGATATAATCTTGAGATCATGGGAACTGATAGTTCTGCTGTGTGCTAAACTGGTCAGACAACATCTGGAATCCTGTGTCCAGTTTTGGTCACTGCAGTGTAAGAAAGATCCTGAGGAACTGGACGGAGTGTAGAGAAGAACAAAAAGTCTGGTGAGGTGCTTACAGGCTAAATCCTCTGAAGAACAGTTAAAAAGAACTGGGTATGCTTAGCCTAAAGAAGAGAAGATTAAGGGGAGACAAGGTAGCAGTCTTCTAATAATTGAAAGGATGTCATAGGGAAGAGCCTATGGATTTATTCTCTGTAGTGCCCAAAAGCAATGGATGGAAGCTTTACAGCGAGAGAGAAGCAAAGAAATTTCCCAACCATGAAGGTTATTAAGCATAAGTGGAACACTTATCTCCTGAAATCATGGATGCTCCATCACTGGCAGTTTTCAAACAAAGGTTGGACAACTATTTGTCTGGGATGGTCTGAGGATTCATCCTCTCAGCAGGGATTAGACTAGTAGACCTCCAAGTTCTCTTCCAATGATTCTACGTATCCTCTGATTTAGATATAGTATATCCTCAAAGTCTGAGCATGCGTGTCTGTGGGCCTGTTTTACTTTTTTAAGAACATATGAATAGGATAGTAGGATAGTGTTATGAGACAAGGTTAAGATACCATGAACAAATATACCTTTACATGTGATTTACATTCAAGGCTGTTCCAAATCTATCTGATAAATATTAAGGTGCTTCAAAGGGAAACATTTCATTTTCCTTCTTCAATACATGCTGTAACAGGTATAGGCTTCTGTTCCAGCTATTGCATGTCGTGGCTGAAGTTAAGAGGAAGCTGCCTTAATGTAAAATGCTTTAATAAGAGCCCCTTCAGTTCCTGCACAGGCCTACCAATTACTTGGTGCTGTTTGCTTGGTGTAAGAACAGCCTTAGAAAAAATATTTTTGCTGGAATAGCAAGCGTGTTTAGTAAATAAAAACATATAAGGATAGTTGAGATGTAATTTACATTATAATATGTTGTTAAGGATTTTTTTTTTTCCAGTAATCCCTTTCAGTGCTAAGTAGCTGGCCAGTCTTTTCCCAAGTTAGAGACTGGGAATTTAAACCCCCCCCCCAAATGTTTTGGCTATTACTATCCTATAAGAAGTGCAAGGCTTAAAGGGGCATTTAAGCCTGTGTACCATAATCTGCCCATGAGGACACATCAGGGCCCAATTTTACATGTTCAGATTAGGTCAGTGATGGGCAGTCATTTTCAGATTGAATGACAAACTTTATCACTGGATAGCATTCTGGGGGAACTAAAACAAACGAACAGGCTTCACTGGTGCAGAAAAGTAAGCCAGGCAACAGAAATTTAGAAATTAATGGGGATTTTTTTGTTCTTGTTTTAAAGAAAGAAAAAAGACACATTATAAGACATAATAAACATTCTAAGCCTCAACAAACAATGCTGGCAAATGTTGATGACATATCCTAACACCAGATTTGAGTGGTACAATTAAAAGGGGGTCTTGGAAACCATATGAGGATCAAGAGGAATGCATCCACTGTGGGAAGAAAGGCTACTCACCTTTAGATTAGTCACATTATGGCTATACCAGAAGGGAAAGTGCCAGGTATAAGGGGACCTTCCTACAGAAGATCTCTCTTTAAGTCATATATTTCAATAGAAACTCACCCACAGAAAGCAAAACGATTAGTGTTTGCTTTCCTGGTGTGAATGGGGATAAAGAAGCAGGGGAATTGGAAACTATGGTAAGAGACTGTGGTGAGCACAGTTTGAATAGATCACCAAGCCATCATTGTGAACAGAGCAGAGGAAGGGATTGAAACCCAGAAAGTGATTTCTTAAGCCCATTTCATTTCCAGGTGGTTTACGCATGGTGGCTTAAGGCTGCAGTGCAGAAAAGTCCTAAGGGGTGCAGTCATATTCATAACAATATCCAAAAATTTTATTTTAGAGTTTTGCCGAGTTGGGAAAGAAAACTTGCATTTTTATGATCTTCATTTTCAAAGCATCAAAAAAATCGAAATAATAAACTCTCCCTAAATAATACCACTTCTCGTATTCCAGGTTGTTTGGCATTCTTGTTTCTTCTGGAAAGATTAATTTGCTCAACAAGCTTAAAGTCAGATGTTTTCTACTTATTTTTCCAGGATGTGCTGGGTTCTGGGATAACATTACCTGCTGGCATTCTGCGGAAATTGGAGAAACGGTGACAGTGCCTTGTCCAAAAGTCTTCAGCAATTATTTCAGCAAACCAGGTACTTAAAATGTCTTTCTCTAGTTTGGATTGTCATATATCTTTGGTTTCTGTGTGTTTTAAATGTTAGAAAGAATAGCTATTTCATTAGGTGGTATGCATATTGAAAGGAAAATGCATTTGACTACTGCCTCTTAAGACATGTTTTAAGACAGGTACAACCACCATCAAAACAGGTTGCATGCATGCCTCTTCTGTTGCAAGCGTGCAACTGACTGACTTCAAATTTATGTCTAGAAAGTAATCCTGAACAATTACAACAGAAGGTATTCTATAGCCTTGAAGGTTGGTGAAAGGAAATTCTTTTCTCTGATCATCTGTTGGTTTAAGATCATCTGTTGGTTCCTTTTACTATGGAGATGGGGAGTTGGGAAGTCTGGCAGAGTATTTGAAGTTCAAATGTATTTTCTTTCATGTTTCAAAGGAATCACAAGAGGCCCTCTAACATGCCCCTTATTCTAGGGTCAGATCTATGTTTTCTTTTTGTTCCAGTATCAGCCACCCCACCATTTCTTTGATGCAGGAATGGATGATGTATGCCAGTCACTCACAGCCCACTGCAGATGCACTCTAAACTTGCATTTTGAAGCTCTTCTGTCCTGAGCTGCCTTAAGCCCCTTTGAGCAGTTGGTCTACCATACTTCATTCTACTTCTGGTGACATTGTCAATTCCAGTTGGCAACAGTGCTTGACACACCCTCTCCCATCTGATTACTGCTCAGGTTGCTGTGTTCTCAGCTGGTCAGCCCCTGCCTGCCTGCC